AAAGCTTTGAATTATATGAGCATCTTTTCTTTTCGACTTGAAAAAGACTGTTTCATTTATGCTTTTATCTGTTAATTTGGTACAAAGCAATGTTTAATAAACAGTTCAATTAGCTGTGTTTATTAAAATTTTAATGTCACTTATCATTTTGACAATAATCATATGTGCAATTAAGAAATGGTTCATTCACACTGGAAATGATAGCATACCGGTGAAATTCATATTTTCGATTGAACTAAATTATACATTAAATTCTTAAGCTCTCACTTTTTGAGTGTTGAAAAAAAAAAAACAGAAGTGTTTTTGAAATAATGTTTAATCAACTAGGAATTTGTTAATTAAATAGATTCACTGTTTATTTACTTACCTTTTTACTCTTAAACTTAAATATTTACGAGTTCGGGACAGAACTATATTTGCAGCCTATTTTTTATTCACATAACACTGCAGCAATTAAAATTTAATGAAGAATTGGTTTTGGTGATGTAGCTGGTGGTTTTTTGGAAGAATTTTGTAGTGCTGTATTTACATGATTTATTTGGAGGATTTCTTTCACTGTCTGTTCTGGGAACTCTAATTCCCATATTCGTTTTAAATGTTTACCTCGAACATCACGAGGCGTTCCGAATCCAGTCATTCCTCTCTGGAAATATATCGTCATATATAGGCAACATGCTACCTTTTTTCCCACAGTTGCAACCTGGATGGATTTACCTGTGAATCATATTTGTTAGTTCCAGATTGTAATCGAATGATTGAATCGGTAGCTCTCAGTTGTTCAATTGTCCATTTTTTGCCGTTGTCAGCAAACTGCACGTTAAGAGCAGTATTACGAGGCATACCAAAACCTGTTTTACCCTGCAAATTCACAAACATTAAACAGTATGCTGATAAGATATTTTCAATAAGTGTGTATTTCCAATAAGTGTAATTTAAGTTCAATGTATAGAAGTGAATTCTTTGTCATCACGGTTACTATTTCTTTGCGAACTGTTAGCCGAGCAAGCTGCAGGTGCAATCAATAAACTGCAATCACTATAACATAATATTTTAATCGCTCTTATTTGTCGTGAGACATCTATGTGACAATTTGCACTAAATTTGTTTAATCAGTAAAAACAAATTTATTAGATCAATAATGATGCATTAATGCTTATTTCTTTCCATACTCACTATTAAAAACTTTGATTGGATAGTAAGCTTAAACTTTCACAGGATATCAAAAAAAAAAAACAAAATTAGAAGATGATATTTTGATTAAAAAAGCTTTAGTATTGTATATTTCGATATACATTTTAATTTTTTTCTTGGTTCGAGTTATCATACTAAAAATCTGTTGCTTATTTACCTCTTATCAACACTACCTTACCAGCTAATGAAGGAATGTAATGTTGCTGTAGTGACAAGAAAAAAAAATGAATGCTCCATATTATACTGATTACTAGTTCAGTCCGATTCAATGCATGAGAAATGAGTCGGATTGGTCAACGAAAGCAGTAATAAAGTCTAAAATTCTCCGAAATTTATGGATAATGACTATATATTTATCATGAGGATAGAGCTTTTGTTTATTTCATGAATTTTTGAATTTCAGGGAATTTTTAAAGATTTAATTGTCTTTCAAACATGCCAATTTCATTAGAATATTAAACATTTCTCAGCATTTTACACTTTTTTGAACAACGAAATATTAAAAGTTGTGTGGGAACACAGAAGTTCACAAACTCCTTCAATAAACCTTTCAGAAAAGTTTTGTAAGAATTGCTTGCATTATAATAATAAAAAGTGAAGTTTTTTAAGAAAGATTTACTAAAAAATTCTTATTTGCAGTATCAAAAAGGATTCTAAATATTGATAATTCACATGCAAAACTCAACACAAGATGTAAATGACGAAAAAAGGAAAAATGCCAGTGGTTCGACTTTAATCCATAAGAAATAAGGAACTCACAGAGAACAAATTTCAAAACTTTTTCCTTCCTTTATCATTTGAATTTAAATCAAGAGAAGAAAGGATGGAACAGTTATGATAGACAAGCTAACTTTTTGTGAATCGAATTGATTTGTTCCCGATTGTAGCGGTACCAAACCATCAGTCTGTCGCAATTGTCCGAGAGTAAATTTACCGTTACGTGTACGCCGTTCATTTTCTTCCATGGCCGGTGCTTCTACATGAGCAATCTTTAAGCCACCTTCAATGATTACTGCAATAAATCACTGAATGCGATGATTAGTTCTACATTTAAAACGAAAATTTATTTTATTTTTTTTTTGAAAGAAGTGAAATTTTAAATCAGTAGCTAATCAGAAGTTTTGGAAAAGCGTGTCAAGTAATATTCAAATTTGATTGAATTTTAATGAGCGCATGCTAACAAATATTAATTCTTAATTATTCAAAAGGAATAAAATCAGTTTATCAAGAACTAGAAATCAATATAAATGATTTTCAAGATTTATCTACCAAACGAAAATGAAAAGTTTCCCGGTAATCGCGCTCAAATAATCGAGAGCTCTTCCATATTTACAAAAAAGTGGAACCAACATGAAGTGGGCGCTGTAGTGTTAGCCATATGGTTTGAAATTCAAGGGAAGATCCGCAGTATTGGTAGCACTACAACAGTAACTAATGATTCGTTCGTTGATCAGTGAGAACGGTAGAGCGGAGCGGATGGATATATTGCTGATGGATTGGGAAGATGTTATAAAGGTACCCTACCTCGCCTCTAGCTCACCTAACTCTCCAAGGGGCAGAGCTTAAGCTCTTAGCTCTTTACAAAATATAACTGTTGTTGCTATTACTCGATGAGATGAGCCCTTTAAAAAAGAAGGTGAAGCAGAGTGATAGACTTTCCACTCCGTTATTTCTTTTAAAACAATATAACGGTGACAGATAGTCAGGTAAATTGCTGGTTACTAAAAAAAGTATAAATTGTTGCTAATAATAGCATTTTAATTTCCCCCACTTTTTTTAACCAAATAACAGGCTAAAAAGGACTGCTTCAAAATAATTTTGTCGTTTATTTTGCAACTAAAAATGAGTTTTCACTTTGCTGACATAACAAATAATCGGTGATGTTAAAGATATCAATGAATATTAAACGAAAAGCAGTTCTGCAAACTATAGGTCTTTTCATCTGACAAAACTTGTGAAAGAGAGACTTACTGCATTCAAGATCACGTACTGTTTCATTTAGTTGTCGTTTATTATACTCAGCTTCCCACTAATTAGCAATTAATAAACATTTGCACAAAATATTACAAGAAAAATTGTAGAAAGCATAAAAATGAAAATTTCATGTTCGCAGTGTATGCTAATAATCCAATGGTAATTTCAGTTTATTTCTATTCTTTTTGGTACAGTTGAACGTTAATATCTGTGGCTTATAAAGTAAGAACTATTTAAAAAAATTTCTGTGGTGCTGAAAAAAGAATGTGAGAGGAATATTGTTAGCGAAATATGCAAAGCTTCTAATCTGCAACGTATCTGAGTGTAAGAGTTGTGTAATGAAATGTCTGCTAAATAAATTCCTACAAAATATCATACAGTGCAGGGATAAGAATGCTTAGCGAAAATGCTAATATCTTGATGAGAACAAAGTACTTGAAGTCCCACTGCTAGCTTGAAATCCCACATGATATTTCTTTGTCACATTTGACTGTTAATGATTATGCGATGCCGTTTTATCAATGAATGTGATTAATCCAACCGCTGATAAGATTGTTGACATTTCAGTAAAACCATCCCACAAGCATACTGTTAGAAGTTATGATAAAGCCATAGTTTAATTAACTTGTATTTGTATAATTATTGGCAAAAGAGATTAACGTTACACAGTTAAAGCATAATTTGTTAATGAGAAGGTTAATTGGTATTCCGGATGAAATGCAATATCCAGAGAACAATTTCCTCTTCTTCTTTTGAATTGAATAACTCTAATCTTCCATCGTTTTTAATCTTTTTAATTTTTCAGTCGACTCAACCATTCAACCAACAAAGTTGTAATATTAAAATTCGTAGATATCTTTGCACAGCTTATAAAGCCGTTACAATGTTTATAAGAGACAAATTCCTAACAAGCAGCTTTGCATGCGAATGAAATAAGATGTCGCTGCATTTTCCGCATGTCACAGCAAATTCTATGCTTTTTTCGCTTAAACTATTGGAAATGTCGCATAGATGATAATATAAATTATAAGCATTAAAGTCTGTACTAATAAGACAAATCGTAATAATAGCAACAGAGACAATAATATAGCGATACGAGAATTCGGCATAAGAATAAAACAATGCAAGTCAAGTATTGCATTAACATTTAGGCAGCTTTCTTGTAGAAATAGAAGATCTCTCATTCCAAAAATACAACGCATTTAAAGGTGGCATCAACATCCATCTCATATCATATCATACCATTGCAGCACATTAGATTGCAAAGTTTTCTATGACTGAATAAATAACGCTTAGCTATACAGGGAATATTAAAAGTTCACAAATTAAATTTTAATAAGTCAATCCATCGTAATAAAGGAAAAATAGCATAAATCATTGCCAAAAAAAGGAAGAAAGAAATTAAAAGCGCAACTGCATATAAAACATAAGTTTTCTTTCATAAAAATTTCAAAAAAACGAAAAAGCTGAAAGATTTGGAAATTCGAAAATTTTGGCAGTTCGCAAATTTTTGGTGCTAGAAATTGAATTTTTCCAAAAATTTGAAATTCTACACAGCTGTCTTAAATTGTTGAAATGCCTCTTCAATGACATATTATCATTCAAGTTAAATCATAACAAATTTAGAATTCAAAATTCAGTGCAGAAGATAAAAGAGATGGGGGAACAGAGAATAAAAATAATGCCCGGTACCACATATACAAGAATTCGGGAATAATATCAACTGACTTATTTTCAGACAACATTAATTGATAAATGCATTTTTAAGTTTAGTAGATTGTAAAACAGGAATCAGCACGGAATAAGGAATTTCCGGAGTAGGGAAGGATTGAAATCTAAAGTCGATCAAGTGAAGCTTCTGCTTCTTCCGGATATTCCAATTCCCAGATACGCTTCAAATGTTTGCCTTTTACGTCACGTGGTGCACCAAATCCAGTCATACCCTGAAACAGAATTTTTAGAAATTATCCGAAAAATATATAAAATCATTCATTCATCATCACACTTCTTCCAAAATGTCACATAAAATTTAGAAATGATTTACAGACGTCAATGATCTCATTGATAAATATCAAAAGTTCTTAAGTGAAGTGGTATTTTCTTTATTAATACATGAATTTAATTTTATTCAAGCAAATTTACCTTCTGAGAATCGCCTCTGTTCCAACCAGCTTGCGATGGAATTACTGTTTCTGACTTCTTCATATCCTCATAAGGCAATTCACCAGCTTCTGCTTCATAAGTCGTATTACGTGGTGTACCGAAACCGGTCATACCTTGTTGTGATGCAAATCTAGAGAAGTAAAACTGAATTTCTTTCGCTTTTTTCTCGTATCTTCTTTCTTCAAAGCAAGAAACTAAAATCTAAACTTACCGATTAGTACCCGACTGTAAACGAACCATTCCTTGACTTTTGCGATTCTGCCATGAGATTGACGGATCCAAGACCTGGAATTTCTTCCGCTATTTCAAAACACCTCATCAAATAATTTATAAGTAAATAAAATATAGATCAATCGAATACCTCCCAACGTGGTTGCCCGAAACCAGTCATACCCTTTTGAGAAGCATATTTGTTACTGCCCATCTGGCTAGGGATTGTCGAGGAATCAATGCTACTCTCCGGATCGTATTCAGGATGAGCAGAATCTCGAATTTTTGTTGTTTCACGTCGTGATGTGCCAAATCCGGTCATTCCCTAAAAACCAACGGCTGCAATTTCTACTTTTTAGTCCAAAAAAAAAAAAAAAAAAAGGTAGACAAAATGTCTAATTGCAAAATGTTAAACTGTTTTTATAAAAATTTTGGACCATAAAAATGTCAATACCAATGGAAAGAATAAGTTACTTAAGAACTTTACGATATTTCAAAATCTTCTAATCAGTCGAAGAATCCAACTTTAGTCGTTCTAACTGTGCCTATTAGTTGTGCTAAAAGACTTATTACTATCAGAGAGAACTGATAAAAAGTTACCTTCTGCGAAGCAAATTTGTTAGTACCAGCCTGAAGTGGAATTTCAGATTGATCAGGATGTTCGTGGTCGTATTCAGGATGTCTTGAGTCTTTCATTTTTGTTGTTTCACGTCTAGCTGTACCAAAACCTGTCATACCCTACAAAATACAAATATCTAAGAAAACGAATGAACAAAATTAAAAAATAAAAAGCATTATTACTAGTCAGTTAAATAAAAAATTAATTGTTTACATTTGTTGAAAATAATTTCTGAAAAAGTCAGTATTTTCATTTTTTTAAAGCAAACCATTATTAAATAAATTAGAATAAATTACTTTTTGTGAATCATATTTGTTAGTACCGGCTTGCAAACGTACAATACCATCGCTGAGACGGATCTTTTCTTCTTCAAGCGGCTGAAATTTTAATTTTTCAGTATACAAATCATTTAATTACACTCAACAAAACCTCGTTGCATTAAAAAAAAAACCGAGTGGATATCAAATTATGTGCATAAAAATATAAGCAAAAAAAAAAGATGAACGAACCTGCAGATCTGAGGGTGCTTGATTGACATGAACACCTTCTCGACAAACATCACGACCGGTGCCGAAACCAGTCATACCTCGTTGTGAATCGAATTTGTTCGTACCAGATTGCAAGCGAACCTCACCGTGAGTTCTCATCAGAATTTCCTCCGGTATTTCCTGTGAATCAATTTCATTTTAAAATATATTTCTCTAAAAAGCATCTTTTTTCACTGAGTTTTCGAAAAAAAAAGGAAAAATCAAAAATCCAATTTATCATTATCCGAATCATTGTAATTGCTAAGAAATTTCATCGTTTAAAATCAAATCAAAAGAATATACCGCAAGGTTTTCGGACTTCACTCTAGTTTGAGTATTTCGTGGTGTGCCGAAATTGGTCATTAACTTTTGTGAGTCACCTTTGTTCCACCCAGCTTGAGATGGAATAATACCTGAAAATCGCATTAAAATTTAATAGTTGACATTTGAAAGAGTCAGAATAGTAACGATGATATACAAATTTAAATTTGCATGTGTGTAGAACAATAAGTTAGGGTCAAAGTTTGATTTTATGTGACGATCAATCTATTGAACAAACCACTTGCTTGTTTCATTAGTGAGCGACCAAATAAGATATTGCATAATTGCAGATTCATATGTATACAAATGTAAGTACCAGAAGAGTAGGGATGCTTTAAATATGGTTGGTGTTAAAATGTGATGTTTACATAAACATTCATAAATGAAGCATTGCATGGTTCTCACTTTCAATAAACATTTGAAACTACATAATTAAAACAATCGGTTATTACACTGATTACAATAAGGGTAACATAACCTGAAAAAAGCATTGAAGCAATTGCTCTCCGATATGCAATTACTTCTTTCAATCTAAAAGTGTTCATATCTAATTAATGAATTAAATGTACTAAAAAGAAATAAATTACCATCGGTTTGGCGCAACTGAGCCAGTGTCCATCGGCCAACCCTTTTGGGTTGCCCTTGTCCTGCAACTCGAGTTTCCATTGTTGCGTTTGGCTGCGCTTCATCTGCATTAATAATTATATAATTAAGAAAAAATATTCCATATTCTTTAAAATTTTTTCATTAAAAATTCTCACAGATTTTAAATTGTCGAGCAAGAAAGAAGTCTCTTTGAATCAACAAATTATTTGCAGAATTTTATGATGATTTTATGGTGTTAATAGAACTTGCATGTATGTATGCACGATGTAAAATGAATGATATCCTATAATTTAGTGACATATATAATTCCGCCACTAGTGTCAAAAATTTATTTTTTGGTAAATTTAGTGCCTTTTTGTAAATTTAGTGCAAAATAGACAATTGAAAGAAACTATGAAATGAATAAAAAGAGATGAACTAATGAAATTGCCACACAAAGATTTTATCTTCACAAAGGAAAAAGAGATAAAATAAAGTGAAAATTACAAAATATAAAAGAAGCTGAATATGATTGTAAAATCATTTGTATTTTAATATTTTTCCCCTTTTTAAATTTTATGCTCAACCGCGACGGTTATTGCATTTTCAGCTATCAGTAAAATCACTATTCACGATTAAAAGAGAGAATAAGAAATAATATTTAGTATTTTGATATAGAGATCAAACAAGATAGCTGTGCTGTTTCATTATTGCTATTCCTTAAAAAAAAACTACTTTTAAGTTAGTCAGCTCACCTGGAATTCAAAAGGAGCGAGTGATTTCTTTGCAATGCAATTATATCGTTTTAAATAATTATTATTGAAGTCATCAAAAAATTTACCCAAAAAGTTTCGTTACATTTGTATCTTTTTGTCCTCAAAAGATTCCTCATTTTGTAATAACTAAAAAGTATTAAACTACGGTTCCACCTAACTGCGTTTATTCTTTAAAAAGCATAGGTACACGTACAGAGGGGAAAAAATGTTTAACCAGGAATTTCAGCTACAATTTGTCCTTCTGATGTTTATTATTTAGAGTTTAATAAGTGAAAAAAAGTAGCAAGAATTCATATTTTTTGTTGGTCCGATCAGATTATCTAAATCTCTCAGAAGGATTGTAACCTTTGCCCTTTCCATATTTCTTCCCACATATCTAAACGGCTCCATAATATATCCACAAATTAATTTCGGACTTGAAATTTATCCAACTTAAAGAAAAGTTTACTATTAGCAGCATAATTTTTCCTTAAATTGAATTTTCTTTCCTTCAAAAAGAAAAAAAACTGTTATTTACAAATTTTAGTTTAAAAGAATGTAAGATTTGAAGTTTGGACAGTAATCATAATTAAAGAAGCAATGTCAGAAAAAAATTAATGTGAAATTTACCAAATAAATTATTAAAAAATTACTTTTAAATTTCTGAACATTAGAAACTTAAACAATTTTCAAACCATTTTGTCGAGTATTTTTCTCACTGGTAGTAATATCACCCGCTGGAAGGACCATTTCATGATCAGTCATCTGTCGTTTGTCTTTTAGTTTTCTAATTGTTTTTTCATCAAAGAAGGAGAAGTGGAAGGAGAAAGTGGTTCTGGGTAGGATCTCCTTTGTACCACTAATGAATTAATGAACTTTTTTTGCTTTGTTCCTTTGTTGGTGAGCAGGATATCGATGCGACAGTTGCTGCCCATAATTATTGTTTATGTTCTTTTGTCATTACTGTTTTCTTGAAACAACTTACAAGCAGCATTAATTTTGTTATCGTTGTTTTTAATCTTCTCCTAAAGTTTGTAATCGAAGCCTTTCCTGTCCTTGTGAGTCGTTTTGTTTTATTTACTGTAAATATGGTTTTGAGCTTCCTGTTTATTGGTGATGTCTTTCTTTTTCTTTCAATTGTCGTTTCTTTTATCAGTTTTTCTTAAAAATTCCTCCAATTGGATAGGTTTTTGAAGTTCGCAACTCGTCTTGTTTTTTTTTTTTTTTCATGAAATCTTTTGATCTGTCTGATTGCGAACCGATATTTTGAATTCTCGTCACATCTTCCATTAATGGAAGAAGTATCTCGAAATTTCTGATGCTTCGCTTTTTTCCTTTGTGTTGCTGTATCTTTCTTATTTCTCGTTCCCTCTGATAACAAGGATATGACTGCTCTCGGATGTCGACCATCGCAGTAACTATTCCAATGGTATCCTACATTATTGCTGTAGGATTAGAAATTTCCTTCCGTCTCCTCACGTGTCACAACGTATGTGACGTGATGTAGGTTCTTTTTCCAGCTGATGTAGCTCTCGTATTATTTCCATTAACAATGATTCGTAAGCTTTCAGTTCTTCGTAAGCGTCCCTGTAACTTATACAGAGTGCTCTCACCGGGTAGTTGGTATATCTGGATAACTGGTGGGGTAGCAAGGAGGAAGTATAGTACAGTTTTCTGGAACATAATATGAATTATCTGGTTCTAGTACTGAATCCTCAAAAATCGTAAATACACCACTCTTTCCATCACTTTCCGCACACCAATGATCTATATCATTTGCTATAACAGCTTTGTAACCTTTACGTAACCGTTGCTCACAAATTCCTGATCCCGAGAGAACGTGATTATCATCTGGTACATACGGCATGCTGGCTAGTTTCCAATAAAAATATTTGATATTTTTATTTCAAGATTTTAAATAATTGCAGATTTTAAGTAATCCTGATCTTTCTATATCAATCTCAATAATATATTGTGAAAAAGACGTTCGAATGAGAATTAGCAAATAGGAAAAGTTATGTTAAACAATTTTAAATGGATTTAAAATATTGGAGATTCCTTGTCTTAGTTGGTGAATGGCAACGACGAGGCACAAAAATTAGCATAAGTTATATCCACTTATTATAAACAATTTAAGAATTCAGTATTTGTCAAAATGTTCAGAAAAAAGAAATATGTAAGGAATTCAGTAAATTCAGTATAATTCAGTAACTTTTGTAGTTTTCAGGTTGCTCGAACTGTAAATTAAAATTCAATTTTTGCTCAAACTATAAATTATAAAAAGATATGCTTTTGATTCCTATATGATCCCTATATGACTATGTAAACAATTCATTCACATTGTCATCAATTGTCAATGACATTTAAATGTTTCTTTCAACAATAAGAAAGTGAATTTCAAATTCCTTCATAAAGAGAACATTTTTTGAATATTTTATCTTGCAGTCCAGAAAATCTGGGAAAGTTTGCAACATGGATATCAATATTATAGGATTATTTCTGCCTTTTGGATAAGCGTTTGTAATATGTATGAGTAGCAGGAATTAGCAAATGAATTTTTGGTGATCAGTAAACAAATTGGTTAAATAAAAGTGACGAGATTTAGAAATTTAAAAATGTATGTGTAAAGGACACGGTGCTGATTCGAAACTTTATAGACAGGTGGCAAAGTAATATGAATTTCATTTTAAGCCCATTTTAAGACCAATAATTTACAAGCTCATTTCAAATTCCTTCAAAATTATTTTAATGCAAAATTACGAATGAATTAAATTTGCATATGTTGTAAATTTGTTAAATAAAGCTTATTCAGTGCAATGAGAAAAGAAATTTATTTCTTACTTCCTTTTGTGAGGTTAAAATAAACAGCAAAAAGTGTAAACGTTATAAAGAGATGTTAGAAAGACAGAAATGCTTGGTACTTAAATTCAAATAGTTAACTGACTATATCGCATATACAGATCGTTACACTAACTTTTGCCTTATATCACTTTATTAGTGCACCATTTTAAACCAGTCAAATGTTTATTAAAGTTTAATGAAACTAACCTTGAGCTTGCTCTGGAGCAGCTGGGGCAGGCATTCTGTTGGTTATGACAAATCACCTGTAATGTGAATAATAAATTGTTCGTATCATACGAAAGTTTTTTATTCGTACAACAGAAAACGACAGCTAACACATTTGAAAGGTGAAATATTAGCATCTTACTTAAACAACTGGTTCTATGGTATGCAAAAATACTGAGAATTTCTAAAAAAAGTTATTAGTGGATTGAACGAATTCCGATCACAGTGCAGTTCCTGAATTAATTAAAGTTTAGAAGTGATCAGTCAGAAGTTTAAAGTTCAAAAATCACTCAAGGCTTTCTGTATTGATTAAATTTAGTTTAGCTGATGAGTGTTTTTTAAAAAAAAAACAAGGTTACTGAAGATTAATGTGGATGGATTTATCTGTGTACATAAGTGCAATATGCAGTTCTGAAGTACTTCGCTATCTCCTTCAGATTCAATCTTTCGTGTTCTGATGTCGTAGTAAGCAGACAATACAATTCTTGTTTACATTCACATTCACAATATCTCTCTCTGTACTCAAACAGTTCAATCATCGGAAACTTAGTCAGCAGGTGAATTAGATAGCAAAGATATTGAAGCTGTGATTGAAAAGATGCTATATCTTAGCTCATTTGACACTTTTCACTTGGGACTTTACGCAATACTTCAACAAATACATATCACCTAAATTTGCAAACAGCCAACATTCCTTCATTCAATGTTTTTTTCAAAATCCATTTGCGTCTAACTTACGCTTTTAAATCTTCATCATAAATCAGAACAATCGTTCTCCTTGATCCGAAGCTTTCTGGTCAAATCAGGAATTATAGCTGTATCGAAGAAAATTTTTGAGTTGAGAATTTGACAAAAAGGAAATTGAGATTAGTTGACAAAAGTTGAGAACGATTCTTCAGCGCACCATCAATTGAAGTAATTTGATTTTCAAAACGATTTGGAATTAGATTGCATTCCTTCATTTTTTTCTTCTCTTTCTGCCTGTTTTTCCTGTTTCTTATCCTCTTCCTACCTTATCAATGAGAAAATAAAAGAAAAGACAACAAAACAAGTTTGTTGGAAGCAAGTTATCTCTCTCAGATTTTGTTTTTTGCAACATTTGGAAGGTTTTAAATTTTGAAAATGATCTTTTCAAAAACTATAACGAGAGTCACTGCCATGTCTTGTTGGAACTGAATTTCTCAAATAAATGTACCATTTTGCACTATTATCAAGGGTATCTGAACACTTTACAAAGGTGAATTCCTTGAATTGCTATGCTCTTTATTTATGAATCTCTAATTAATTAGTAGAAGAACTAATTGTAATGATTGTAGGAGAAATATATTTCCGATTGCTAATCCGGTCATCGTTTTATGCACAGCTAGATCTTACACCTTATATATCTTGCATATTTCCATGCAACATTTTCGTTCGAACTTGACTTAGAAGAATATAGAAGTTAAACAGACGAACGAGTGTTTCTTGAAATTCTGCTATTTCGACCTGCAGACAAATAATTTCTTAACTATAACTATAATTAGTCTTCAGAAATTGTTCTTCCCTTTTCAGAAGGTGATGAAAACTTGTTATATGACATGTAAAAGGAAATTTTGTTGATTTAAAAAATTAGTAACCACCAAGATTTTTTGTTCAAATCAGAATTAACAATAACACTTGCTGGCTATACGAGAACTGAAACAAGTGAAAAGATAAGTGATAATGACAGGATTGATAATTTGGATGTGTAGTAAGTGTTTATTCAGTAACAGAACCGGAACAATGATGAAACTTCCCTGAAACAATGATTGCTCAATGCCATTTTTCCCGTACGTCACAACAAATCACAATACTGTGGTACTAATAAAGCAATCAAGCGGATGCATCCAATTGATATTGATGAACTCAATCGAAATAAGAATAATATAGCATGCAATTAGCAGCGAGAAAGACTGCAGCTGAAACAATCTCCAAGTGATAATAATCTTCTTTCTTCCTTTTTGTTGTAAAAAAGAATTCAAAATAGGCGGATGAATTATGCGATGAAAGAAATGCGAATTGAAGTTTAACAACTTTGATGATAGAAAAAGATGAAATGAGACTGAACAGCAATTATGAAAGCAAATTAGTGAAGAAGAGTTAAGCTTCAGCAGGAAGAGAAGATTGAATAAGTGAGATTTTTGTTCGAATGGAAAAGAGAAGTGCTGTTTCACGAACGTGACTAACAATCGAACCTAACTTTAACAGACACAGATACTTCTGGACACAAAAAACTGCAACCCTTTGCGTAATCATACAGGGTACAAACATATATGCAAGATAAAATTAAGAAGAATTGAATGACAAAAGCACCACCAAGTAATTAGAGAATTGAAATTTTGAAGAATAGACTGAATAGTTCAACTTGAGAACTTTTCTGAAAATTAAAAATGATATTATATTTTAGACATACATATATTCATTTTTAGTTTTTAAAATATTAACGCCTTTCAACATTATTGCTTGACCGGTTGAAAATTAGATTCATTTAAATTAAATTTAATTTCATTAAAGTTAGATTTCAGTAATTTCCATCATACGAAAGAAATATTCTCTTTAACTGTGGAAAGATTTGTATCATTTAAAGATTAGACGAACAGCTGAACCTCGAACTTTATTTTGTTTAACCGCATTCTAACTGTTCATTTTTAAGAATCTTTTGAAAACAAAAATGACACAGCTGTTCGTTTGCTCTATGCAAAGAATTAATGAAAAAAAAAGTATCTTAAATGAATTTTCAAGTGATATTTTTGTTTTCTGAATTATAGTATAGAAAACGTAGTATAATATATTTTAAGTGTGTTGATGGTATTATATATTGACTTAAACCTGTGAGTGGTGTGAAAAAATATTAAAACTCCCTTAAAAAAAAAAACATTATTGACGAATTGAGCAAATTTTTAGCATAGTGCAGTTTTCGAATCAGCCAAATTTTAAAGGTATTCAGTTAATTTGGTGACTATAACTACCAAAGAATTTTAATATCAAAGTAATGCCAGAAGTTTCAAGTTCAAAATCACTCAAAGTTTTCTGTATTGACTAAAGTTAGTTCAATTGATGAGAACTTCTTTAAAAAAAAAAACAAAAAAGTGGTAAGCTTCAACTCTAATTCGTTCGGAAATTAAATTCAAAAATTTTAGCATTTTTGTAATTTCAAATTCAGTTTAAAAACATTTGGTGAATGCCACTTCGGAATAAACATAATTTTAGTCAGCAACTATTCATTAATCATTTCTAATTATAAACATATTTACAGAAATTTTGCACCCTCAGTTTGGTCTCTTTGAGTTTTATTTCCTGAAACACAAGCACAGACATTACGAATTGATGACCTGAAGTTGCAACTTGTGGCATTTCTAAAGTTACTTTTATCTTTCTTCAAAATCAAAACTTATAAACTTTTTAAATAAGTAAATACATTATAATGTGGTATCAGATGACTGATTGAAAAATGTGAAAGAAATTTTTCTCCAGTCTTAAACAATCACAAATAAATTATTTATTACTCATTTCACAGCTTGAACAGAAGTAAAATGAATGTTAGGGAAAAAAGTTAATTCTTATTTTTGAATTATAAAACTTCTGGTGACAGAACATTGTCTTTTGAAAGGCAATCTTTTTATAAGAAATAACTGGAGCGCTTCCATCAATGAACATTGTTTGTGCAATGATTTACAATATTTCAATGAACAAGTGGGCAAATAAATTAGTAAGTGAAAGAGGATTGCTGAATAAAACTGACCAAATGGAGGATTGAACAGACTGAAGCAAATTTGAACTTTGGGTGAAAGAGCTGTCAAATGAACCAGTGAGCAGCAATTATAAAAAGAGATGAAATTGGAATGTCTTTGATGTCTTTTGTAATATCTGACACCATCGCATTCCATTTTCGGAAGTATACTATATTGTGTGATCCAGTAATCACATACAGCTAAGCTATAAGAAACAGTCCAGAAATATGGCCTATCGAGGAATTAATCAAATATCAAAGTTTTGATGTTTTCAATTTGTATAAATTAACTTTAAAATTTTGGCAGAATTTGACTGTACTACAAATGGCAAACGCTATAGTTTCAAAATATATACCATTAAGAATTATAACTGTTTTTCTATCGTTGTTGATAAAATGATTCACAAAGAAATAACAATAGTTTTGTCATACAGATGATGTCAAAAATATAGCAATAATTGATGGACAAAGCTAAGAGAGTGCTTTTAGTCATAAGCTAAGTGATGATGAATGTAATTCGCAGTAATATTATATTTCTTGGTTAAGGGATGAATGGCAAAGGTATCGAGATCCTGATGTAAATCAAAACGATATGTTTTATATAATGATTTTAAAATTGACTTAATTTCTTTAATCTGTTACATTTCCTATCCGATCGGTTTTCCCTTCATGAAATGGAAAAAGGTAACTATGAGTTTACGAGTTCCTACAGGTGGCAAATAAACAGATGTTGAAACGATAACGTTGCGGAAAGGGAAGACCATTCTTAACAAACGAAGAATGTCGACCAGAGACACATTATAAATTAAAACTTCCCGATACTCCCGCAACTTCAACTTGCACACTAACATTTCTGCCACTACCACAGTTGATATTGCCACTGCTATCAGCCAGCACATCTCATTAAGATTCGAAGAACTGCCTAGACTAACTGATAGACTGATAGCTGATAGCTAGTCTGAAGATCGCACAGATAGACAGACATGATAACAGTGATACTGGAGAGAGACCCTCAACTATAATACCATTCTTCTTCAATTGCCGTAGTAACTCGAAGGCTAAACAGAAATTTTCAGGAACTTAAGCGTATCCGAAACACTGCACTTTAGCATTGGTGTATGCATGTGTGTGTGTGTGTGTCTGTCTGCCTGTCTGTGTGGTACGTATTTACGATTTACGCTGAAGGTATTGAAACCCAAGAATAGATGGTTCTCACTGCTTCTCGCCCACAATTTCACATCCACGGTCTATGCTAACGGCTCAAGTCA